GGGAGGTCGAAGAAAGTGAAACAGTTTTGACACGAGGGAGTTGAGGGGGGTGGGGGGGGGAGGAAAAGATCTTGTGAGACTTCACACATTTTAAAATGTATTACTTACTTATAAAAACCGTACATTGACAGCTGTGTTGAGATTTCTGTTGTGAAGGATGAACTGTGACAGGAGATGAATTGTGACAGGCGATGACAATTGAATAGTGGGGGGGGGGGTTTGCTTCTAGATTACATTTTGATAATTATTAAAAACATTTAAAACAATTTTTTTAGTTCAAAATTGTCTCGTACTTAAGAGGATCTGTGTGTGTGTGTGTGTGTGAGGGGGTGGATTTCTGCGATTTGTGACCGGGGGGAGTTAGCGGGTAAGAGTGTCAAAAATAGCGAGATGTCCTTTATGGATGGCCCCGATAAGACTTGCTGATACAAATAAAATTTGTTTTAAAATTAATAATAGTGACACATAGAGAATAGTAAAGAATATCAATCTCCTTTTATACAATATCTTAACTCTCACATTCAGATAAATATTGAAAAGTAATTCTTTAATCATTTTATTAAATTTACTTCTATTTTGAAATAATAATATTTCCATGTTAAATTTGACATGCACTTCTTTCTTAAAAGCAGTTAAAAAAACAAAAACAAAAAAACCAGATTTATATTGATTCGATTTCCTTAAAATAAAATTAAAAACAAAACAAACGAAAAATGTTTATATGAATCTCATTTAGACAAATAAGTTTTATGTTACGCACATGCTGAACACAAATTTGCACGCTGATTAGTGCACTTTGGGGCGATTTTATTTTTCGCGCTATTGAACGCAATGGCGTTAACCTATTCTTACATCTATGTTATATGATCTATTTGTATTAGAAGTTGGGGGGGGGGGTGGAAGGGTTGGGGGGTTGGTGGGGGGAGTGGGGGATCGATTTCGTTACAGTTCAGGTGGGCAAAATGTTAAAGTGAAATTTAACATATTAAAAAAATTGTACTTAGCAGTGGCCCAGGAAAAGTAGGGGGGGGGAAGTTGGAGGGACGGTCTGAACGGTGGCGCCCCTTTAAAAAAAAAAAAAAATTCTGTATATGAAGCTGAAGACAGTTTCGGCCAACTGAAGAGGTTGTTTTTTTTTTCGTGGAAGGGGGCGGTACAATTATTGGCTCACCCCGGGCGGCACTAACATAAGCCGCGCCACTGTGTAACAGTCGTAACCTTTCAATCACTATCATTTAGTAGTATACCTAAACGCTGTTGCTCATGCCGGGAACTGAAAAACGGGATGTAACACCTTCGAGCTGCGGGTCGGGACACAGTTATTGCCCCTGTAATTTAAAAACCGCGACGATTTGAGAGGGGGGGGGAGGGGGGAGGCAATTTGGATATTTGCGATCTACTGATGTTATCTCGTAGAATATTTGAACACGGAGTTCGCACTCGTTTGTGATCCATTTTATCTCATTGATTATTGAACACACAAAAATGTTTATTGCAAATTAAGCTTCAGAAGCTCCACCTTTATGAGTAGATGATTTTTATCGCAATATATTATTAGAAATTGGCGAAAATAACTTTAAAATAAGCAGGGCCCGTCTCCAGGGGCTGGGGCCCATTCAAATAATTTTTGTCTCAGTTCGTAATATAAGGAATGTGAATCTTTATTTTATAAAAAAATGTTATTCACTAAATGTCATTAAAAATGACGTATTTTTTCACCAATTGGATGATCTAGGTTTCAGCTCATTCATTTTCGTATCGTTGGCGTTATTATTCTATGCATGCATTCCCGTCTTTATGGGGCAATCATTTCACGCTTGTAGGAGTGTACAAAATCAAATTGTCAATGCACTAAAGCTGTTCAAGAAGCGATTTTAAAGGGGACAGAACTCCGTATTCTCAAATTGCAATGTTTTTCCTCCAAACATCATTAGATCCAGGCAATCAAGCATATTGTTTCTTCAAAATAGTTTCGATATATGTAGTTTTTTAAATTTTTCCCATGGTTGTGCTTGCATAATGAAAACTGTGTTAAATTATTTAAAAATAAAAAGAATACAATGAATTCACTGTGTGTGTGTTGCCACGAATGCTGAAATCTGTCCACAGCGTTGGACGTGAGGCGTCAAGCGTCGGTGACAACTTGTACCTAGAAAATAGTGATAGCTTCATCCCTGTCGAGTTGAGCCACGGAGCTTAAATGAAAACTGCCGAGACTACGCTACGCCAACAGATTGGTATCTCTCCGTTTTAATCCAGCCGTCAGGCGCCTGATGGATTAGGTAGGGTCAAATGCCAAAGAAATTAAATCCACCAAAAAAATTTTGTTTGGAATTAAAAAAAAAAAAAAAAAAAAAAAAGAAAGATTATTTCCAACGAATTAAATTTTGTAATTTAACATAAGTGTCCATTTTTAAAAAAAATTCCTTGGCAAAGTTCGGAGTATCTTTTCCCGTCAGATGACCAAATCTGTTTTGGTGGCTCGTGATATCTCAGCTTTGTGTCTGGTCATAGCCGGGGAAGATCGCTGGAATAATGCTAGTGCCTCAAGGCGTAGAGACCAGGAGGGCAGATTTAAAGGGATTATCCAGGGACAGAAGTACATCTGGGTGTTGCCCAAAATAGATCATTAAAATAAAACATAAAATAGTTTACATGATGATTTACAGGTTCAAGGACGAATTCTTTAAATTCGATGGATTCATATAGCTGATTGAGTTCATTGCTCCCTACCATTTATATGAATTCGAGTATTCATATAAAAAAAGCTGTCAGTATTCATGAAACAAGTTGTCAGTATTCATTTAACACGATGTCAGTATTCTTGAAACACGCTATCGGCATTCCGTTATGTTCACCCGAGTTTTTGCGTCACTTCCGGTCAGACGCGGAGTCTCTTGCTCTACGTCACTCCGTCGTTTATGATGACGTGTTCCCGCGACTTGCCGGCGGCGATGCAGTCGTTGACCACTTTGATGACCTTCCCCAGGCGACGGTCCAGGGCGTCCAGGTGCGGTTCCCAGAGGATGGGGGACAGGGGGTCAGAGGTCATAGACTGCCTGAGCACCTGGCTCAGACTGCTGGGCCCCACGTAGAGCTTGGCCAGTTTAGTCAGAGTTGACAGCCGGATGGCGCAGCACTGACGGAGAGGGGCCAGGCACGAGGTGCAGTCGTACTTGGATTTGCCAAATCTGTCAGACGTGGTTTCAATATGTTGAAAGTATAAATAGATTAGAATTATAGAACCAACACATTCAATAGATTAGAATTATAGAACCAACACAATCAATAGATTAGAATTATAGAACCAACACATTCAATAAATTAGAATTATAGAACCAAAACATTCAATAGATTAGAATTATAGACCAACACATTCAATAGATTAGAATTATAGAACAACACATTCAATAGATTAGAACTATAGAACCAACACATTCAATAGATTAGAATTATAGACCAACACATTCAATAGATTAGAATTATAGAACAACACATTCAATAGATTAGAACTATAGAACCAACACATTCAATAGATTAGAATTATAGAACTAACACATTAAATAGATTAGAATTATAGAACCAACACATTCAATAGATTAGAAATATAGAGCCAATTATTCAATAGATTAGAATTATATGACCAATCCATTAAATATAGATTAGAACAGGGGTCGGGAACCTTTTTGTCTGAGAGAGCCATGGACACCACATATTTTGAAAAATAATTCTGTGAGAGCCATACATTATGTTTAAAACTAAAAGTTCGAGTAAATGTGTGCATCTTGTGCCATTTCAACACTAAAAATGCAATCGTTTTGATTCTGAATTCTTATTAATAACATTGAAATGCTGTTGCTAATCAATAATGAGTATTTCTTACCAATAATGCGACTTTTTTTTTATAATCGAACATTTTTTTGCGAGCCAGATGTAGCCATTAATAAAGCCACATCTGGCTCGCGAGCCATATGTTCCCGACCCCTGGATTAGAAGTATAGAGTCAATCCGTTCAAACCAAATAAAAATTGCTCTTAATTTTAATTTTTTTTTATTGTGACTGATTTTTTAAAATGTTAATGCAATGAAAAGAACCCAGGCCTGATCAACAATTAGATAAGAATTTGGTTGACTTGTCTCTGTCCTCTTTTGAGGAGCCTTAAATGAAGGCGCACGGGCGCCGAGTAGAAAGCAGACCTACCCCCTTCCATGGTCGTAGAGAAGCACAAATGTGTCGCTACCAAAGTGTTGGAAGGTTTCGTAATGGTGCCGGTCCATATTCCCTACAATAAAAGCACTTCATATTAGTTTAAACACAACAACAACAACAGCAAAAGCAACAACAACAACAACAACAACTGAACTGAACGTTCAAATTATTATTATTTTTTTTTATTAAACAAAAATAATTTGATACTTGGGCAATTCTGCTTAATTCCATTATCCCCCCCCTTTTTTTTTTCAAGGTAAGTCACTGGTATAATCAATGAATATTAGATGTCGTAAAGAAGTTGCTTTAAATAAAAATGATGATAGGCCTGAGATAAAAAATAAAATCTTTAAAAACTTATTTTTAGCCTGGTAAAATAATATTATTTTTAAATATCAGTAAATCAGTCAATCAATCAATCAAACAATTCTCACGTCTTGTGTATTCGAAGCAGATTTTTTTTTTTTTTTTTTAATCTCTTTTTTTTTTTTTTTTTTTCGTTAGTTCAACATCCATTAAAAATGAAAAAAAAAAGCCAAAGTTAACAATGACAAAAATGGATGGACACCAGGGACGTGCTGGCCCACGACGACGCGACGAGCATTCGTCATGGGCCTTTTTGGGGAGTTATTACAATCTCCGGTGTGCGGGGGGAGGGGGGCCCTCCGGGCCTTTCTTACTACACCGTTCGTCACGGGTTTCCATGTGCCAGCACGTCCCTGATGGATACTAATAATAATGCAATGGCAATATAAATGTGTGGATGTCTTTCTTACGAAAGAATAGCCAGAGCTATGTTTAGAACAACCAAAAAAAAACAACAAAAAAAAAACAACAACAACTGACCTATCAAAAAGTCAAATATGGCGGTATCCATGAAATCCAAGAGTCGTCTGCCGCCGAATTCTCGATTTGGTCTGACAACAAGATCACAGTAGCTGTCGTTGAGCTCCCACGCGGCCTGTAGAAGACAAACAAGCAAGCAGCTAGGGTGACGTTGTGTTAGGCCCTCTCGTCGTTTTGATCTATTCATTGAGTGAGCGCCCACCTTTGGCCGCGGAATCATTCAAGGTCTTTTGACACCCTTATCCAGGTCACTGCCACAGCCTAGAACCACTGCCACCGTCTAGGACCACTGCCACAGTCTAGGACCACTGCCACAGTCTAGGACCACTGCCCCCGTCTAGGACCACTTCCACAGTCAAGTTCCACTGCCAGAGTCTAAAAACCTGTTTACAATCTATGGCCTCTTCTATAGAGGCAACTCTCTAAAATAAAAGAATAAAAGACACCCGTCCACACACACACGCATACACACACACACAGACATACACACATGATGAAACAAAGAACTCAACCTTCATTAAATAAGCGTAGCTACGCATCCAAGGAAACTCTATTTCATACTTAGAGTACGTTAGGGCTCTGTCTGGCATGTAGGCTGAAACAGAACCTTCGATCACATCAGGACTACCACATACAGAATGATCTATGTCACAGTACTGTCGGCATTTACTGAAAAAACACACGTTTCCGGCTGCAGAGAAAAGCATACGTTTGCACATATTTATTTATAAACATAGAAAATGCAAAAAAAATGAACAAAAAAATGACGAAGTTAATTTTGTTTCGCAAAAATCATAGAGGAGAAGTCAAGTTTTGTTGTTATTTTTGGTAAAAGAAAAGTAACTCTATCATGAGCCGGCCTCACGTCCAGGTGTGACAGGAGCAGAGTTGGTGGGAGGCCGGTTAATTCAACGGTAACAAATAAAGTGCTACAGAAACAAGAGGAAAAAAACCACAAGAACCCTTGCGGCCAAAGCCAGGTTATACCGGAAGCCTCAAAGCAGGTTATACCGGAAGGCTCAAGGCCAGGTTATACTGGAAGCCTCAAAGCCAGGTTATACTGGAAGCCTCAAAGACAGGTTTTACCGGAAGCCTCAAAGCCAGGTTATACCGGAAGCCACAAAGCCAGGTTATACTGGAAGCCACAAAGCCAGGTTATACTAGAAGCCTGAAAGCCGAGGAACTTCCTTTGAAAGGCAACGAGCGTAGGCTCGTGGAATGTTAGAACCATGAACGAAACAGGAAAATCATCAGACGTTGATAAAGGAATGAGGATATACAAGTTCTGTGAAACAAGATGGAAACAAGCTGGACAAATACTAAAACAACTCAGGCGATGAGGAGGAAAATGCTCCACACCCACACGAAGTCGCTTCCACGATGACACGGATAGCACAAAGGGCATTGATGGGAAGCCCATGGTCCTAGGGGACATTGATGGGATGGGAAGCCCATGGTCCTAGGGGCATTGATGGGATGGGAAGCCCATGGTCCTAGGGGGCATTGATGGGATGGGAAGCCCATGATCCTAGAGGCATTGACGGTATGGGAAGCCCATGGTCCTAGGGGCATTGATGGGATGGGAAGACCATGATCCTAGAGGCATTGACGGTATGGGAAGCCCATGGTCCTAGGGGCATTGAAGGGATGGGAAGACCATGATCCTAGAGACATTGACGGTATGGGAAGCCCATGGTCCTAGGGGCATTGATGGGATGGGAAGACCATGACCCTAGAGGCATTGACGGTATGGGAAGCCCATGGTCCTAGGGGCATTGATGGGATGGGAAGACCATGACCCTAGAGGCATTGACGGTATGGGAAGCTCATGGTCCTAGGGGCATTGATGGGATGGGAAGCCCATGGTCCTAGGGGGAATTGATGGGATGGGAAGCCCATGGTCCTAGGGGGCATTGATGGGATGGGAAGCCCATGGTCCTAGGGGCATTGATGGGATGGGAAGCCCATGGTCCTAGGTGGAATTGATGGGATGGGAAGCCCATGGTCCTAGGGGGCATTGATGGGATGGGAAGCCCATGGTCCTAGGGGCATTGATGGGATGGGAAGCCCATGGTCCTAGGGGCATTGATGGGATGGGAAGCCCATGGTCCTTGGTGGCATTGATGGGATGGGAAGCCCATGGTCCTAGTGGGCATTGATGGGATGGGAAGCCCATGGTCCTAGGGGCATTGATGGGATGGGAAGCCCATGGTCCTAGGTGGAATTGATGAGATGGGAAGCCAATGGTGCAAGAACTATTACAGCAACATTACGAAACAAGAATAATACAATAAATATTAATGTACTACCGAGCTATGATAGAAAGGAAGGTGAAAGAGAAGCTTTATATAATTGACTACAAGATGATTTCCAGGTAGATATCTAAATAGCATATTGGGAGATCCTAAATTTTAAGATTGGGAAACAAATAGTGGCTATAAAAAATCATGGGGTGCCATGGTATAGGAGAGAGAAATAAAAACGGTGAGAGACTGGCAGACGTCTGCATGGAAAATGAGCTCGTTTTTGAGGGCATCGTATTCCAGGTAAGAATATCCACAAGGTAACTTGGGTGTCCTTTGATAACAGAAATATACAGCAAAGCGACCATATGCACTAGCGAAAATTCAGAAGGTCTCCCCAAGACGCACGAGCTAAAAGAGGAGCTGATCACCATCTAGTTTGGGCAAGGTTCAAGCTAAAACGGAAGAAAAAATGGGAATAGCCAGCTGCTAGAAGACTAAAATACAAAAAAGTACTTCTTGCAAAAGAGAAAAAAAAAAAGAAAAAAAACCTAAATGAATTCAGTGTTATCTTGAGAAATAAGTTCCACGTTCTGCAAGACCAAAATTATGATGACCAGACAGAATTTAAATGGCAGACTATAAAGACGTCTAAGACATCTACGTTCAACAAGGTATCAGGACCGGTGAAGCAAAACCACAAAGATTGTCTTACACTCACTATGGGGGGTCGTGAGCCAGGCTACCTCGTGACCGCTGATTAGCAGCGGGGAGGCCTTCGGCCATAGTCCGGCTTTAAACGGTTACGAGGACGCTGGACTGGGGCTGGGGCTGGGGACGCCGTTCTCCGTGAGTGGCCGGTCAAGAGTTTCGTGCTCAGTGCCGCTTCTGCAGATTGCTCGGCTGTGAGTGCGCAGGTGGCTAATGAGGCCGATTCTGGCACGAAATTTTCTTGTGCAGTAGGTGCAGGGGAATGATGGCGCATCTCCGGAAGCAGAGTCAGACCGGGCCCCCCTTGCATGTCTCTTGCGCTCTGCAGCCGCTGTTCTGCCAAATTCATGTCACCCTCGGATTGAGAAGATGTGGGAAGAAGAGAGAGTTTCATAGATTGGAAAGAAGAATACCTTATCAAGATACAAAAAAAAAAAAAAAAAAAGAAAACCTAATAAAAATAAAAAAAAAAAAAAAAAAAAGAAAAGGGATCTCAGATAATGTGCAAACTACAGACGAACTACTCTGCTGTCTGTACCAGGAAATGTCTTAAACAGAATAATTCTGAAATGAAAGAATGATCAGGTCGGGGCGCAGCTATGAGATCAACAGGATGGCTTCCGCAAAGGCAATTGTGCGAAAAGTCAGAATACCATTTCTCGACGCGGACACGTGGTTCACTATAATAAACCAAGGGAATTTAAATATTTACTGGGCGCCCCAGGCGCCCCTATGGCCACGGCCCCCTGTGCGAGGAGGGCACAGGTCGCACACCCTAAAGGTCGGCTTTGAAAAGAAGAAATGTCGAAATGACGCCTTGTTATTTATGAAGAAATACCTGGAGAAACATGGACCGTGCCATTGACGTCTTTATCTCCCACAGCTGCAATGTCTCTTGTAATGTTCATCAGTCGACCAACTGTCGGGACGGCGCGATGGAACCCTAGCACCCTGTGGAGATTTGGTGTGTGGGGCATCATCTAATAACATGTCAACATTTATCGGATATTCATTTTTATGTTCTTATATAATCATTGTAGAAAGGTAACCTTAGAGATCTCACCAATGGTATCGAAGCTAACAACTGTGATAAAACACAGGTGTGCACGTCACTTGCGAAACAGGCTTCCACCACTACCAGCTCATTGGGTAATGTCAGCCACCAGTCCTTTCCCACCACCAGACCTATGCACTCCACCACCAGTCCGCTCGCATCAGTACACTAACCGTTATCCCATCTCAGCCATCATTCCCTCCACCACAGCCCCCTCCACCACCAGGACCCACCCACATTATCCCCCTCCACCACCAGACCCCCCTCTTTCACCAGACTCCTCCACCACCAGACCCTTCCACCACCAGGCCTCCTCTTTTACCAACCCCACCACCAGGCCCCTCCCCAATATCCCCCCATCACCTGACCCCTTCACCACCATACCTCTCCACCACCAGACCTCCTCTTTCACCAAATCCCCCATCACCCGACCCCCCCACCCCCCTACCCCTCCACCCCCCCACCCCCCCTCTCACCACCATACCTCTCCCCCACCCGACCTCCTCTTTCACCAAATCCCCCATCACCAGACCCCTCCACCACCCGCCCCTTCCACCACCCGGCCTCCTCTTTTACCCACCCCACCACGAGGCCCCTCTCCAATATCCCCCCCATCACCAGACCCCTTCACCACCATACCTCTCCACCACCAGACCTCCTCTTTCACCAAATCCCCCACCACCAGACCCCTTCACCACCATACCTCTCCACCAACCAGATCTCCTCTTTCACCAAATCCCTCATAATCAGACCCCTCCACCACCATACCTATCCACCACTAGACCTCCTCTTTCACCAACCCCACCACAAGGCCCCTCCCCAATATCCCCCTCCACCCCAAACCCCCTCCACCACCGGACGTCCTCTTTCACCAACCCCACCACAAGACCCCTCCCCAATATCCCTCTCCACCCCAAAACCCCCTCCACCACCAGACCTCCTCTTTCACCAACCCCACCACAATGCCCCTCCCCAATAACCCCCTTTACCACCAGGCCTCTTCTTTTACTAACCACCCCCAACACAACCCTCTCACCAGACTCCCTCCACTACCAGACCCCCTCTTTCACCA